ATCAGGGTACATAGACTTGACAGATTGCGTCTGATGTGTTTTTGATGAGAACAAACTTTGTTAGTTTAATGCAGACCAAGTTCACTCCCACTCAGAACTCAGTTTCTCCAGATAGGAAGGTTCTGATAACCTCACATTCACACATCATCACACCTCACATTCCATCCACTCAGATCCATTCATCACATAAATTGTCCTAGTTGTCATGTTTTAATTGTTTAGAAAATAAAATTCTTGTTTTTTATAAACTTGACTCTCTTCTTGAATTAATACGGAATGTCTTACAATCCCTGAATAAACAAAGAATTCTAAATCTTCTGGTTAAACATTCAAAGACCAATCAGACTGGATTTCCATATTTATATGGAAATTCACATCATATTGGTCAAAGTGTAGTGTAGTATATCAAGCTTTAAAAGCACCCAAATCATACAATAATTACCCCGTTACATTATTCAGACTAGAGTCAACATCTCTAGTAATAATTTATTAATATTCTCACACTGTAAGCTCAGGTCTAAAACATGGCCGTTGCATGAGGACAAAAATCAGCTGTAAATTTGTTCCATTAATTATAAGAAGATTTAAGAATAACTTAAAGGTTTGGTGGAGTCAAATGAGTTGGAAAATTACTTGGTGGTCTCCAAAAATGGGCACCTATCTATTTGTGTAAATGAAAGGCCTGTCTGTTCTCATGGCAAGAAAACTGCTCCGATGTTTTTACCAGATCCTCTTTTTCTGACAATAACAACGATTATCTTCACTCATACTTTAATCCATTTGCAGTGGTCTCTAGTGTAAATGAACACTTTTTAAGTAGTTCTCTGGGCGGAAAAGTTCTGGTGTACCTGTTTAAGGATGTAAAAATCAGCTGAAGGAGAAAGTAGCTTCAGACGGCAGGATTTTGAGTCGTATTTGCTGATTTGTGGTCATCTCTCCTCTGATTGGCTAACGGCAACACAACTCCATCACTGACTCTATTTGCTCTGCAATATCGATGTTTTATCTTCACAAATAACACAAGCGTGGAGGAGTTCTGCTGTGTGGAGGAGCTGCCAATGCTAATGGTTAGCTTCTGTTCTCTGCTGTTTCCTGGACGCTAAACCAACAAGTCTTCCCCCTCATGGTCAAGATGGGTGAGTCCATGAATTTTAAGTAACAGGGTGACGTAGATCTGTCAGGCTTTTCTAATCCCAACAGAATCCCATCAGAAGCTAATGCAGGAGATAGGTGAGACTATTTTCGTTACTGTAACGGCTCTAAAGATAATCTTATCAGATATTCCTGCCATGTGTGCACTCTGATCTGATTGGAAGGACATCAGGCCTGCTGGAAACTGGGGATATTAAATAAGTTGGATTGCCTCGGTTCAGTATTGACCAACAAAACTGCTGGCTATCAAATGTGATGTGAAGCCAATTAGACAGTAAGGTGACGCTGTGCTCCTCTGCCGCCATTTGTTTACTCTGCAGTCACGATTGATCTCAATAGATTTTGTAAGATTTTCCATCAGCATGGGGAACGTTTGTGCGTGAAATCAGCTCGTACAGCGGCACACAGTAGGACCAAAACTGATACATCTTTCATTTTTTATCGCCACGTGTGTCGTCTCTCATGTTCTGAAAATTGTTCGATAATTTTAAAATTCTGCCGTGTAAACTGCTAGAAAATTTAGAATTTTTTTTAAATAAAAAATATTACAATAGCATGCAAAAACATACATTTAAGATCAGTTTAACTCACGCAGCCAACCCAGCTATAGCTCGTCAGCTACTTCCTGTGTTAGCTCAGCTCACTTCTGGTTTGAAAATGAAACTCCGTTCCTACTGAGGTAATTGTTGGGTGGAAGTAAACTTCCTTGAAGGCTACTTGTGTGAGCTCGGTTTTCTTGATGTCTTAGCTTCATTCCTTCTTGCTCTGAGGCCTTTTCCCCTCGTCGTTCTGCCTCCGCCTCTCAGCTTTCACCTGCCTTGCTCCCTGCTCTTCTCCTCCACCTGCAACCCCAGGAGGATGCTTCACGCTGGCCATGCTGCATATTTCTTTCCTTTTTTTTTATGTGCCATTGGCTTTGCCATGTTATAGTTCTGTCTGCCATCTCCTGCATGATTTAACAGAAACCTCCCACAGCGGGATGGCAGACAGGTAGAAGAAGAGAACACGGTGGGGATGGACGAGGCGAGTAGGGGCCAAGCGAGGCTACAGGGATGAAGACAATAACAAAAGAAGACAAAACGAAAGACAAGAGGTGGAGAACAGGGCAAGAAAAAAATAACACTGTCTTGTGTGGGGAAAACATTCTGCTGCTGCGCTCAAACACAGTCTCATACTGTTCAAACCGGACGGGAACTTTATTAAATCTACGCGAACAGTGGCTTTTATATCAGCTAATTTAAAATAAGTTACATCACGGTGGATCTTTCTAGCTATGAGAAATCATATTTATCACATTTTCTCTCTTCCAGTAACATAAAGACAAGTTAGTGCAAAGGATGATAAAATAATTACATATTTTAACATCAGCTTTAAAAAAATTACTTGAATATAATAAATAAATAAATAAATATTCACTTCTGAATACTTGCAGGCATTTTCTACTTAAACTCTTTACCCATCTGTGTGTGAGACCAAATTCATGACCGAGTCAAAAAATGTGGTTATGGGTTTTGCTCTACCTGAAACTATCTGATTAAGGGTTTTTCCTGCAACACCACCTCCCAGAAGAACTTTACAGTTTGACTTTCATGGAAAAATATTTTGATGGTTTATTGCCTTTAAAGAACATTAAAACAAAGATGACCTGTGGCGTTCCACAGGGGTGTGTTCTCAGTTCTTTTCTGTTAACCCTAAACAAGTTCCCCTCAAACAATTATAAAACTTTTACTCTTAGATTCAGATCAAGCAGCACGGTTTCATGGATTAAACAGTTGTGGTCCTACTGAGTTTGATTTGTGGCCACAAGACAAAAACTTCACAAACATTCCCAGGCTGGTTGGGAACCCTCAAGGGTTGGGAACCTCTTAAGCTCAAATGTGACTTTGAAGGAAACAAGCATCACATTCAACAGGTTGCACACTTGTTTCCCAGCTGTAGCTCAGGAGGTTGAGCGGGATGTCCAGTAATTGGAAGGTTGCAGGTTCGATCCCGGCTCCGACCAGAGAATGCTTCCGTTGTGTGCTTGGACAAGACACTTAACTCGCTTTGCCTGCTGGTGTTGGTCGGAGGGACCGGTGGCGCCTGTGTTCGGCAGCCTCGCCTTTGTCAGTGCGCCCCAAGGCAGCTGTGGCTACATCGTAACTCATCACCACCAGTGTGTGAATGGGTGAATGACTGATTATGTTGTGAAGAGCCTTGGGGGGTTGTGGAACCCTAAGAAGGTGTCATAAAAATACAGGCCATTTACCATTCCACTCTAAATAGAACAAAGGAATTCATAATATTTAATGTTCCTGTTTAATGATCAAAATGGTCCAGATGTGCTTCAGAGTTGTCCAGAGCACTCTTCACCACATCTCCACACACAGCAGCAAGATCTTCTGAATTTATCTTCAGAGCCATTGCGTTAATCATGTGTTCGTCAGATTGTCGGGAGGGAATGAGGTCAAAAATCTACATAATCATCTTGCCGTGTGAAGTGGCCCTCAGGGACCTCCACACACTATAGTCCACACATTTCTCTCTACATGTTTCCACACAACAGCTGCTCTTATTTCTGTCTCTTTGTCCTCTAGCAGCTATCGTTAATCATTAAAAAGTTTTAGTGGAAGTAAAACCTCCTTTTATGAGCCCTAAACCACCTTGAAACCATGTTTCATTGGAGAAACCACACTTTTTCTACATTTGTACCACAACTTTGTGATTCGTGCTCTTTGCTGCTGATCATCTAAATGTTTTAGGAAGATGACATAAGTGCAAGTGTTACTAATTCATTCTGCTCTTAAGCTTTGGGGGCGGCGTCTCCTCCTCTGTAGCTGCCCTCCGGGAGCTCGGTGGGCTGTTTTCAGGTTGTGATAAAAGTCCAGGAGGAGAACATCTTCTTTTTATAAAGATGATCTTCCTCACACCTCAGGTGCCCAGAGGAGGGTAAGTTATCCTGGCAGCTGACCTTGAATCATTCACTCAGTCTGCAGGATGGATGATTTATGAGATGAGACGGTGGATGAAAACATAAACTTGGAGAGAAGCAAAAGGCCTGAAAACAAGAGATTAATCTGTGTGTTTGTCTCATTTCACACTGCATGCTGTGTGTGTCACTTAAAAATCTTAAATCTAAATAACCTCATTGTCACGATCTGCCCCTGCCCAACCTGACTGTGGCTGTGTCTCAATTCAGGGTCTGCATCCTTCGAAGGACCCAGCCCACCCGGCCGACGTGGGCTGCGTCCTCCGTCGGCCGGGTAGACCGGATGTTAGCGGCTGTGAATTTGGACAGGACTAGCCTTCATGAACTCCCTCGGCGAACGTTCCGTCGCCTAGCAACCGTGGAACCGCTGGGCAGAAGGGAGAAGGAACTTTAAACGATGGAGCTCGACGTTTTATTTAGCTTTTTAACCCCCAGAAACCCAAATTTAGAAAACAACTGCAACATCTTTTTTTAACCTTTCACATGTTGTTCTAGGAGGCCAGATAAACGGGCCTATTTACACATTTTAACAGTCAATAGCGTTGCAGAACCGAACAATAAGACCTATTAGCAATGTAAATGTAGTTTTACAAAGAAAAAAATGGGGAAGGTTTATTCTTGTAGACTTAAATCTGATGTTGTAATATTACAACCGTGGGTCTCTGGGGGTTAATCATTTCCTTGACTGTTGGGAGAGCTAATTCAGAGAAAATACTTTCGACAAGCTGAGCCTGAGCAAAGATGTGATAATAGTTTTTCATACTTTCTAAGGGTCTTAATTTGACCAAAACCGATTTATCACCTTTTAAGACTTTTCAAGACCCAGCGGATACCCTGTAATATTAAACAATTCTCATTTGTAAACAAAAATAAAATTCAAGAGTTTAATGCAGAACTGATTTTATTTAGATATTTCTTTTATATGTACATGTTTAATCTTTATTAACCATTTTTTTCTAGCAAAGTAAAAAGCTGTCAAAGTTCTCCCTTCTCTCCTGTGCCCTCTGCTGCTCTGCCTCCATCTGCAGCCTCATGTCCTCCCTGATCAGCTCCAGAAGCTTGTCATCGCTGGCACCTTCCCCTGGATGCCCATTTTCTCCAGAATAGTCTTAACAAACATGTAAGAAAAGAAACAGATAGAGAAAAGAGGACAACGGGTTATTCCTTTCATGTTTTCGCAGAAAAAATAAACTCAAACGAGTTTTTAAAATATGAGATGTTATTGTACCTCCATGCCACAGCCGCCGAATACTTTGCTCCGGTGATCATGTGGTCCATCTCCGCCCTAAGCTTAATAAATTCCCTGGTTTTCTCTTTTGTTCCTAAAATACAAACTCCTATTAAAATCAGGGGGAAACGTAGCGGGAGAAGTACGACACCGAGCGGCCGAACATACGAGCCGAGACCGCAATACAAGCACTTTTACTGTAACATTTCTAACTAAAATAACGTTCATGTATCACAAAAAGTCCTTAACCTAACAGTTTTCAAGTTTATACTGACATTTATATGCGCAATCCTCTCCGACAGCTCCCGCTTCGCTGTCCGCCATTGTTTTTAAGTTTTTCTGCCGGCCGGCCCGCAAGGCATCTTGGGAAATGCTACCTGTTGAAGGATACACCCGACCCATCCTTCATTCAGGTGAAAAGAAGGCCGCATTCGTCGACCGCATTTGAAGGAGTCTTCGAATTGGGACAGGCCTAGTCGCGGCGCTGTGACGTAACCGGCCGACGAATCCGGCCAACGTAGGATGCAGACCCTGAATTGAGACACAGCCTGTGTTCCTCTCCTGCCGTGATTACCCTTATTGTTCTCACCTGTCCCTCGTTTACCTGCCCATGTTTCCCTGATTAGCCCTCTGTATTTATACCACCTGTTTTGCCCCTGTCCTTTGTCAGTTCATTGTTGTTGTTGTCTGCTGGTGTTTCTGTTCATCCCATCCTGCCATTAAACCATTTTTTACTTTACTGAAGCCTGCATTTTTCCTCCTGCTCAGCTCATCCACACATGGTCCATCATCTCCACCTCCTACACCGTGACAGAATGAGCTGACCAACCTGGACCCGTGGTGAGCATTTCTACATCTCCCTGGAGGATTTATTTTTATTTATTTTTTTGTCCTTTAGCAGAAGGAGATTCTGGCCCAGGGTGTTGGCGCATCCTACCTGTTCTCCGGGGTGGTCACGCCTCTGGGTGGGTTTCGGTGCATCCAGTTCATTTCCTGCGGTGGTCGAGCCCTTCTCCTCTCCTGCTTTCTGCCCCCGTCCCGTTTGTCTCATGGAAGCCGCGGATCCTGGAGCTCTGAAGGAGTTACACCCCCTACGCACGCCATCATTCTCCGGGGTGGTAGGGTTGGTCTCCCCGCTCTTCTCCTGCTTCCCTGCACCCAAGCCTCTGCCTGAGACCCAGCTAATCGTGCCGTGTACCTGCTCTGACCGGTTGTCGAGCACCTGCCGCCGAGCTGGGTTCCCTCGCATCGCTCCTGCCGTTCGTCCACTTCCTGGTCCACGCTGTGGGGTTTATGCCTGCAGGTTTCGTGCTGCTGCAGCCTCTGCTGGATCCCACACCTGCTTCTGCAGTTCTCTGCCTGGGTCCCACGCCTGCTTCTGCAGTTCTCTGCCTGGGTCCCACGCCTGCTTCTGCAGTTCTCTGCCTGGGTCCCACGCCTACTGCTGCAGCCCCTGCCGGGTCTCACGCCTGCTCCTGCAGTTCTCTGCCTGGGTCTCACGCCTGCTCCTGCAGTTCTCTGCCTGGGTCTCACGCCTGCTCCTGCAGTTCTCTGCCTGGGTCTCACGCCTGCTCTTGCAGTTCTCTGCCTGGGTCTCACGCCTGCTCCTGCAGTTCTCTGCCTGGGTTCCACGCCTGCTCCTGCAGTTCTCTGCCTGGGTTCCACGCCTGCTCCTGCAGTTCTCTGCCTGGGTTCCACGCCTGCTCCTGCAGTTCTCTGCCTGGGTTCCACGCCTGCTCCAGTCCAGTCAAGTCCCCGTTCCAGTCCAGTCAAGTCCCCGTTCCAGTCCAGTCAGGTCCCCGTTCCAGTCTCCTGTGTTGTGTGGCCGTATGGGCGTCTGGTATCCGCCCTTAAGGGGGGGGGGGGGGGGGGGGGGGTACTGTCACGATCTGCCCCTGCCCAACCTGACTGTGTTCCTCTCCTGCCGTGATTACCCTTATTGTTCTCACCTGTCCCTCGTTTACCTGCCCATGTTTCCCTGATTAGCCCTCTGTATTTATACCACCTGTTTTGCCCCTGTCCTTTGTCAGTTCATTGTTGTTGTTGTCTGCTGGTGTTTCTGTTCATCCCATCCTGCCATTAAACCATTTTTTACTTTACTGAAGCCTGCATTTTTCCTCCTGCTCAGCTCATCCACACATGGTCCATCATCTCCACCTCCTACACCGTGACACTCATTCAAGGCAGGAGGAATTCAAATTTCACATTAGAAAACTTTTATATTTGTCCCACTGAATAAAAACTTAAAGCTTTTTGTTGTGTTTACATTATTTTGTTTTTATTCTTTAACATTTTTATGTGTCGTGACCTTTTAAGATACTGAATTCGGTGAGAAAGCACCAGTCTGAGGGCAAAGAAGGTGTTCGAAGCCTTTAACTAATGTTTGGACTATAAGCATGACGCTGAGCAGGCACTCTAAAACTGCTTTACTTGAAGAAGAAAAAAATCAGGAGAAACAAGAGCAGAAGTTGGACGGCTGTTGCGCCAGCCGGAGCGGCTGCCATCATGGCAATAATCTCATTGGTTGCCTAAAACTCAGTGGGACGGGCTGAAGACTCATTCACTGTGAAAGCAGAGGCAGAAATGATTCCAGTCAATCAATTATTTAGAGCAGAATTTAATTTTCTGCGCTGCAAATTTCGCTCACATTAGTGTTTATCCTAGTCAAGATGTTTGCAAAAAGAAACGCTGCAGGAAAAGAGAAAAATGTGCAAGTTTTTTTCCCTGTTTGGCTTTTACAACAAGATAGAGTAAAATGTTGTTTGGACAAAATCATAGACTGGATGTGTGCAGATAAAAACAAGAGATGCATGTGATAAAAGATGAGAAGGGATGCAGGAAACTGAGCTGCACCTGGCAAAGGGTCAGCAAAGCACTCTGCACTCGTAACCAGGTTAATGGGTGGGTGGTGGGTGAGTGGGGGGAGGGCTGGATGGAGCTGATGGGATGGCCGGTGGTGATGGAAGAGGACAAGGAGGGGGAGACAGTGGTTTTGAGTACAAGCAGATGGGAGAAAGAAGGAATTTTGACTTCCTCTTCGCTGCCTGTTTTAATCTGACTAAATAGGATAACCTGCTCTTCATAAAAAATGGATGCCACTTCATTTGGTGGGTCCCACCGTCGGGGCCCCCGGAGGCCAGCCGAGTGTCGGGGCCCGCGACTAACATCCCAATCCGCCCACCGTGATTAATTAACTCCCCCATCCTCCCCCAAACCGCTACGTAATTCCAAAGCATCCTCGCTGTCGTAAACTACCCGCGATTCTACTTTCTTATAAATCAAGAGATTGAAGGTTTGGGATGAGCTGAACTAAGGGAGAGTAGGGAGCGAGGGAGAAAATGGGGGAGGAAGAGGTGAGGTGGGGGCAAAGCAAACCGGTGCTTGCTAGGCAGCGTGAGCGGCTTTTTACCCAATCACGTGGGAGAGTTTGTCAAGCAGGAGATTGCAGTCTGAAATATTAATGTGTCCCTCCTGCTCTCCCCTCCCACACACACACACACATACACCCTCCGAAGACAGAGCAAGCCAGCTCCTGGAAGGGACACTCACCCATCAATATTTCATGAGCCGGGGCCCGGCCCAGACACAGCTAGCCTCTGCTGGGCCGCCCGCCCCTTTAACGCTACATGCATCAGCCATCCCTGCCTTTAATGCAGCCAGCGCTAGTGGAGGTGAAAGTGTGGGTGAGAGGTGGGGGGTTGGGGGGAGAAAAGCCTAAAAATGTGAGACAGGACTTCAGAGTGAAATAACTTCAGTTTGAGTCTTATTTAGAGGTAGAGAGGAGAGACTACTTCTCCTGGACCAAAAGCTTCAAAAGCCACTCAAAAACCTCCAAAAAGAACATTTAGGCAAAAAGACCAAAAGTACGAGAGGTCTGGTGTCCATTCCTGGTCTTTGAGAGTCCCTATCCAGCATGTACACCTGATTTTAGTCAGCAGGTGGACTAGGATTGGACACTTGTGCTAATCTGCTCCAGTAAGCAGCAAAATGAAGGAAGTTAAGAAAATGAAACCAAACACATGATTGCTGTCTGGTCTGCTGCACTCTCTCTGGAGGCAGAGCATCCTGGACCCAGACGGGAGCGGCAAGTATCAGAGCAGCTGGAGGTGACTGCAGAACGAGGACCAGGTGTGGTTTCAGGTTCAAAAGCTTTTAAATACATTCTGATTTATAAAGTCACAAGTAACACAAGAGATCACGGTTTTTACACCAGATCTGGTTTCCTAATTTAAATATTCTGACTTTTTACTCATTATTTGACGTAAGCCTTTTTTTTCTTTTGTTTTTTTCTTCTGAGTGGCTTCAATACACCTACACTTAATAGATATATTAAATATAATTTACTTTCACTAGAGAGAAAACTTTTCCTCATGGAGATTAAAAAAACTCAAAGTGAACTAGAAAAAACAAGCAAAAGAATGTGAAATAAGAGCATCATATTAAGGCTGCAATGACACATTGGAAAACAAATTCACCTTTAAACATTTTTCATGCCTCTTAACTCAGAAACCGACAGCCGTTTCCTGATCAGAAAGCCCCTGGCTGCCAGCGTTTTTCAGCGTTTGTACTTTTTTTTTTTTTTTTTTTTTGATGAGTCACGGAACGCTGTGCTCTTTGATGATGTCAACGCCAAAACAACCAAAACAAAGAGTAGACTCACTTGTTATATCAGGAAGAATCTGCGGCAGAAGCTTTTTTGGTTCTCACCTCACTTTTTTTCACAGCAGCGGCCCAAAACTATCTCCTAACCCGTGAATTTTCTGCTTCCTGATCACGTGACGTGTGACGTACGCGGATGAAGATCGGTTTAAGAGATGTAGGGTGTTTCTCATTGTCAAGGCACCTGGCTTTGCGAGGTGATGTCTTGTGAGGCCAGGTGCCTTGCTTATGAGGACACGGTCCTTCCTTTGTCAAAGAAAACGGTTAAATGGAACAGACTTGCATCACGTGACCGCGGCTTCCACGGCGGTCACGTAACGTCACGTGACACGAGAGATAATGTTAAATTTTACATGTATTAGTTTCAATATAAATATATAATGAGCCTTTTACTTTTTAAATTGTGTATATGTTTATTAAATTAAATATACAAGTGAGTTACTACCCACTAGCCACTGCTAGCAAGACTGCAACTACTAAGCAACTAACCAACCATAGATAACTTCTGTGGACCTAAAAAGAAAAACATTTTTAATTAGTTGACTTACTTTTAAACTTGAAAATTGTTCCCGAAATAGCTGCCGGCTTTTGATCCGCCGTCCTTTTGAAAATAATTCTGGGTAATTTTTGACCAAGGCTAGGCTACAAGACACCTCCCGTGTATTCTTGCTCAGCTAGCTAAACGGCTAACAAATGGAGAACACACGCCTCGGTAGAACATGAACATTGGAACAAGTCTTGGCGGCTTCCGATGACATATCTCCTAGGCAACCGGGGCGGGGCCAAGACATCCAGGTGAGGTTCCTTGGCATTGAGAAACACCCTTGATGTTTGTTCTCACGATGAAGGGGCTCG